GCTGCTACCCTGTCCTCTGCCCCCTCGCTCCCCCTTAAACCAAGTCCCACAGGCTTTCATAAACATGAACTAACATGAACTGCCAAGCTGTGACAAGGGCTACCTCCCCCTCCTCTACCCCCTCACCAAGCGCTCACATCTAAGACTAGTAGCTTCTACTCTATTTACCTAGCAAGTTTCACCCTTCTAGGTCGACACTTCCTTGGACACTTAATTATCTTTAATAATAGGCAACGACCGTTTGCAGTTAAATAAGACTTTAAATATGACTTTAATAAATTCTGCCAATCTCGTGATCTTCGTCTTGCTCAAGAGTTAATAAGACTGGGGGCGGGTCTGGCCTAGGCAGTCAGTACGATAAGATCCTCGTCTAAGCGTACTACTACGAAGCTTGGTTTAGAACAAATATCTGACCGGGGTGTTAACACACAGCAAAAAGGTGAATCGACGCACGGATCCTAGCTCACATAGTCCGGGCCTCCGTGTCCCACACCCAATCATACCTCACCTAGTTACAGCCAACATTTGGCCAGGAGTTTGCACAACAGCAGTCCAGCTCGGATCCTACATAGTGGGAGTACCATAAAAACCACAATAGGAACACGCCATTTCAGCCTGAATCTCAGTTCACCAGCCAGATGTTCCACACAAATACACACTGGACTAACTGTGCGGTCCGAGTTATTCCGCTTAAAGTGCGTAGTATTGTTCGTAGTGAGGAAAGTGGGCTGCGCTGTCGACCCCGAGCCACGAATAATGATGATGATTTCCAATTCCTTCTCAGGTTAACCAGCTTTAATTTCTCAGGTGCTAATGGCGGCGCCATTTTATGCATTAGGTTTTAACACATCGTTTTTAATCTTGAGAAGAGTTGTCTAAGGTTCGTAAACTCCAACTGATGGAACATTGATTATAATACCGCGTCTCCCAAGTGACTCCCCAAAAGACTACAGTCAGATATGACATTACTGCTGAAGAAGCGGTCCTTATCTCACACAGGGGACATCTCTGCGATAGGGTTCATTAAAGGTTTGATAAAACTAACCACATGTCGGTGTTTTAACTAAATAATCGTACATTACCTGTCTAGCACGCCCACTGAACACACATAGTTTTCTTAAGTAACCAGAAGGGCGCACTCCAAAGGTGAATTTGTATGTAGCCTCACCAATTCTTTAAACTTCGAGCAGGCAGACTCACTGCAACTTTTCGGCACCTTTACTACGGAGAACGCGGTTCTGTTAAGCATGGACTAGCCAAGGTTGAGAATCGCGATTGGCTTGCTGTTTTACCTACGGTGCAGACTTTGTCTGTACAGTAATACTTCGAAGGTCACGAGGTTACTTTCCGAAACAGCCACTAAGTAATATATACATATACAGAAGTCCGTTACCAAAGGAAAAGTAAACTGGAATGGTCCTTTCTGACTTATTAGCCGTTATCAGCCAGACATACACAACCTCAGATGTTGCAGCATCCGAGGCTCAAACCGGCGACCTGTTGTTTAGAATTAAAACGTTCTAGCCCACTGCACCACGGACTGGTTGTTTTGTCGATTCCGATCGAGAATATTAAAGATGGTATATGGATGCTCACCGTCCAGTTACGGGACTCAATCTTCCCGTTATGCCTTAAGGCTCACTCCCTAGTTCCGTCAGCAGTTTAATAAACACCTTACAAACTCTTATAAACCATAGTAATCTTTCCAATCACCCTATAAACACTTCCTATGCTCTTAAACACACGTAAGAAAATAATAAAAGTAGAAATTATCTCCGAAATGTCGAAAATCTCAGGAAAATCTCAAATCTGCGAAACGCCAACCGCGAAGAGACGAGGGATGACTGTATACAGTATACTCTTGCACACACGTAAGCAAATTATAAAAATATAAAACATCTCCAAAATATCGAAAATGCTGCGCGAAAACCCGTGAAGTATCAAGTCCACGAAACGCAAATCGCGAATTGGCAAGGGATGACTGTATACAATGGCGTGCGCTTTGGCCATGCCATAGTAAAGACGATTACTCCGTCGGCTTCTTGTGGTTAAGCTGGTATGGTGTAAAGTTTACATCTCAAGCCATCACAAGCGTTTTTGGCTACCAGACCGTGTCAAGCCGTTGTGGATGTTAACAGAATTGCTAGTCTGTCGCGTTACGTGTCGCAGCCCTGACGTTAGTGTAAAAGCGAAGCCAGAATTACCCCTACCGATGGACAGGAAGAAATACAAATACTGTTGGTTTCTTGCATTTACTCATCGTCAATTTCTTTATACTTGTCCCGAACATAGACTGAAACAACACACAACATTAACAACAGCAGGACAGAAGAAATATCAACAAGACATCACAAAATGGCTCAGAATATTGCTTCATTGCCAATATTAAAAGGATTGACCTTCGGGTCTAGCAGTTCATTAATAAGGGCTAGTTCATGATCATCATCAAGCTGCAACCCTGTGGACTTAGGTTTTGTGTCTATGATACTTGGGGCATCAGCGGCAAACATCGATTCTTCCCCTGTGGTCGTAGGTTCATGTGCTGGCTCCTCGATTCTTGTCGAGTTTTTATCAACTACTTCGTTTCTTTCTGCTGGAAGAGGCCTCGGGGTTACTGGGCTCAGGATAACCGGTTCTCTCTGATTGTCCAAACCATCGTCTCCATCACTTTGATAAATTGGTACGACCGTGGTATCCCGGAAAGGCTTCGAATCCTCAGCTGTAGCTTCACGCTGGAACTCATTCAGTAACCAGGGGTCCAGAAGGCGCCAGGAGGTGAGGCGCTTGATAAGAAGATCGAGAGGCCATTGAGACAGGGCATTTAGGAAAGGACGCTCTATGAAGTGGTCGGGTTGTTCATTTTTATGGACGCCCTTGCAGATGAAAGCACGAGCTTCAGTGCACGGCGCATGTACTACAGTCCAATTTCCGCTGCCGTCCTTTGTGAGCTCCGCAGCAAGGCAGCCAGTGTCGAGGGGCTTCCTGTTGTCCAACCACGCATTCTGCTCTTCCTTCGAGAATCGATGATAACTAAACGGATTCCGATCAATCCAATATAAATTGAATGTCGGTTTCGTTGGACTTCGTTTGACTTCGCCTCCAAGCCATATCTGTAGTGGTTGTTCATTTCCAAACATTTTACAGATGAGAAGCTGAAAGGCAGGCAAGAAAGGTACTTCAAAAACTGAACCCGAGATAGTCATTTGATCCTTAATATGGGATCCAGTTCCATTTTGCTGAGCTAATTTTGAAAGTTAACCTGCTGTCGTAGCTGCCAGCACAGCAGCGTATCTCTGTATCGCCTTTGGTTGGCCTAGCACTCCTTATACCTTATCTGTCACGTCTGTGACTCGGCCAGCGGTGTTTGACACCGATCAAAATTAGGCCTTTTACTGATTGGCTACAGAAGGACATGGTTCGGTCCTGCGCGCGTACCTGGCGTCGGGGCTCTAGCAGCTGACCCACGGCCTGTTGTTACCGTTGAAGTCTGAGCCGCACGCACTCTCGTGGCCAGATTAAACGATTTCCTAATAAGTCTGTCTCCCCTGACTTTTAATTGGACAACCTCCCTGTCTTCGTTAATGCACCTCAAACTTCTTCAACTTACAAAACAAACATCTTGCCAGTAACCTGTGATATAGAAACAATATAAAACCCATCGCATTAACCTTTGACTAAAAACAGAAATACTGAATGTATCATTTTGTCGGTTCCCCTTCTACGAAAAACAGCAGTATAAGCTGAATGCATTGTGTTTTATTCCAAAGGTGCACAATGATGGTACGGTTAGAACAGGCATTTTTCACGAAAATAGACATTTGCACTAATCCCTCCTAGAACTATTCGGGTCGTCAAATCAATAAGCACAAAACAGCTGATGGTCTAAGCTTGTTAGATATAATTAAACACAAAGAACCGTACGGATATAGAAAGATACTTACCCACTCTTGCTCATTCAAAACTGAAGAGATGTGCATAGGATTGGAAGAATCCTGAAGACAAAACTGCTCAGCTTGCTGAAAAGAAAGTTTCTTCTGCGGCAGCATACTGTAGGAGAATCCGCCAGTTGTCATTTTTTGAATAGTAGAGAAGTTTGTTTTTGGATCGCCTGCATTGCTGACAAAGTAGTTAGATGCCTTGTAATACCGGACTGCGGTGTACGCACTGGGCGGATAGTACACAACAGTCAGGAGTAGGATATGAACCCAGACCATCCTGCGGGTACAATGAACGCCGAGATGAGAATGAGTAAGGTGAACTAACTCTGCCGATTACTAGTCAAATTTCGGTGACCTATGATCTGATGTTTAATCATGAAAGATAACGAAGTTCACAATTGCAATTCTGTCTTGAGTTAGCACAAAATGATTGATCTTCCGTGTGTTCAGTAAGAGTTGTTCATGGAAAAAAATCGATTAAAAACATCTAATCAAATTTATCAAGGTTCAGCAGTGCGTGAAATTGCCTAACACCTACATAAACTCTGCTCATGAATACGAGTACTGTACGATCCATCCATAGAAAGATTTAGCTTTGGATGAAAGCTAAATTTTGAACTCCAGTTCATTGTTCGACTGTCGGTTAAAAAGGAGGAAGGCGTTACTGTGTTCCAAAATGGACACTCCCCAGTATAAAGTGTTTTAGAATAAATTAAAGGGAATCTGCAGTCTTTCACTTAATCCCCGTTTAAGTTAATTTATTATTCACAACGTTACTCACGTAGAGCCCAATTCAACGGGCGTCTATAGATTGGAAACCAAGCCACAGTCTATCAGTCCTGAAATACATTAAAATTTAACCTATTTACATTTTTGATGACCTCTGAAGTTTAAAGCATTGGAATGTTTAGATGAAATTTTAGTTGGTTCTTTTCTAAGCGCGAAAACTAGACAATATAGTACTTTAAATTGCTACTTGTCGCTGATTGAAACGCCAGCTAGAGCGGTTAGCCGAAATCTTTTATCTGCTTTCCAGAAATCCACCAGCTATACATCGAGACATTCTGAAAAAGATAAATGTCAAGTTAAATTTTGCAGGTAAAAACTTTCACGACAGCTTCCGTTTCAAGACGAAAAAACTTCGGGCCGCCATGTTTGGTTACAAAACTCGATCATTTTCGGCGACGTTCGTGTGACTGGCGGAAATGTTCTGTCCTTTTTGTTTGTGGAGAAAAAAAGCAGGACATCGAGCATTGTATGGCTGATTGATAAATTATTCCTTTATGCCTTATCTTGCACTTTGTTTGCCTTACTTTATATTGGATTGGATTTCGGCGCCCTTCGACAGTTAACCTACACTATAGAAAGCACGGCTTTCACAAATGTAACTCAAGTAATCTAAAACTCAGTTGTCGCTGCATATTCAAAAGTATCAGCAAATAGGAACCGATCCTTTGCATTTAAGACGATACGGCTTGCTTGGCGTTCTAACGCAGACTGAACCAGCTTATTGGCAGTTAAAATAATTAGTGCATAACTACTATCCTAGTTTAGGATCCTCTTCAGGAATAAGAGTTAGCTCAACTCTTGTGATCTTATGAATAGGAAATAAGTTTATAACGTGTCTAGAGTTGTGGTGCTCTTGTGCAGTAGTGACCAATTCGCATCATTTAGAGTGTGAAGCAAGCCACAAAGGGAACATGAAGTCAAATGCAACTTTTCCCTACATTAGATCCGGCTGCCATTTTTACTCCTAAGTATTAATATCTTTTACTTTGAAACAGATGACCTAGGTGAATCCAGTGACTACAACGGGAATATGTTCTGACGAAGCAGGAAGTGACGATGGTTCTGCTGTGCTTCCGAAAAAAAGTAAATTGAGAAGATATTTTTGTACTACTTTCCAGACTGTACTTCCCCTTCTCTTAATTAGTTAATCACTTCACAGGCTACATTAGCATTTTTTCGTCAGTGCGAGCGTAAAAGTTTCTACGAACTATCAACTTTACACTTCCGCCTTTTGAGACATTAAGAAGTGCCACTTTGCGCACAGACATCGGTGTTTTACGATACATTTTAAGTGTTGCTCCTTGAGGGCTTGTACCTCTGTCTAACCAGAAAATCTTAAAAGTACTTGCGCTTTAATGGGTATAGAGCTTAGACTTTTAGACATCATCTTAGAACCACTTTAAAGTCAGTCTTATCTTCCCATTCATCCCTTTTTCTTAAAAGTACCTACCAGCAGGACTGAATTCGAAACCGTCCTCTCATACCTTCTTTAGTTTCAGAGGAAATAAATGCAGGAACTTGCAGTTAGACCTTTGGAACAGACGTTTCCTGAGAGTTGGTACAAATACTTGAGCTGATCTGGTAAACGATTATGAAGTTGTACACTAACGACTGCTTGTTGGCAGAGTGGGAATATTGCACCGCTATTCTGCAGCAAGTGGTGGATATCGACGCAAATATTTATATTAACCTTCGGAGTAAGCAGGGAAAGGTCTATTCCGAAGGAGTCAATTCAAGTTCCTGCATTAAGTTCCTCGGAAATTAAACAGGACAGGATGAAAGGGGAGCACCTGTACTTGAAAACAACACAGGTTACGTTGCGGGATCCATTGATAAGCCAAACCCCTCGCATCTGCGCCAGGCAGAGGCCCAGGTTCGACGGAGCATGTGTGTCTATGCTTATAACTAGTACTATTATGATAAATAATTACGTGGTTGTTGTCTGCTGCCCTGACAGAATCTAAGTTTACTTTTCGTAAAGTAAACTTTCATCCCGCGTAATCTACCTGCATTGATTTGAGAGTTCAGTAGGCAGCTTTTATTACAATATTAGGCAATAACAAGGATCCATAATTGGAAGCAAATCACCTAGAGGCTTCTTCGCAACTGGTTTTCATTTAACTTGCTCCAATCTGGCAAAATTTAGTAGTCTATTTTTAATTAAGAAGTACACAGTACCCCTCAGAGGGACAATTCTACAAACAAAGACGGTTGTTTGCAAATAACTACAAAAACTTTGATTAATATCGTTATCGAGGTGTGCTTGTAACGTCACATACACCAAACAATTGCTCGGATGATGAAAAGTTTTAAGTTGAAATCCTCGCGACCAAACGATAAAGCGGACCCATTTCCCCGTTTTCTGGATTAAGCAAAATATAAAGATTATATAACCACCCGTCACGTCTCAGTTTACGAAATACCATAAGCTGTCCTTGCACTAAAGGTTTCAGCAAACAAGTTTCTGCAAAACTTGCAATTTCAGCAAGTCCTATTGTAGTAGTGAAGAAAGACCACATAATTCGCAGGTAAGTCTAGTTGCGTTCATCTTGATTTGCCTTCCCTTTTTGATCAGAATTCATGGAATCCAGTCGTTCTGCTTTTTCATAGATACTTTCTAAATTTTTCTGAGTACGGACTTTGAGAACTATAAAGATACCGATATCAGTTTGCACCTTATTACTTGTCATGCGACTTATTACAAAAGGAAAAATAATGATGGTAAGGCCAATTCAAGTTATAATATAATATTTAAATTCCACACTCAATGTTCTCCCGATAATTATTCATCCCTGTTTTACTATCGTACATACCCGAAACTTCTGAAGAAAAAGTGAAATAAAAACCAAGAGTGAACTATTATTATCCATAATTAGTAGGCTAGTCGTTTCAACCAAAATATGTAAAAACTGGAGACATTGTTGCTGCTCGATCTCAGATGGTTATTCCGAAATTATCGCTATGGGCCCAAGAGCTCACTAGCAAAAATGCAATTGCCGATGAATAAGATTTGTTGCTGGCCGTCATTCTGAACTGCATTTCGCATATTCTTAATGAATCATTCGAGCTAGCGTAAGAAAGGGATTAATTTACCTAGAAAACTGCGCAGCCTTTTGCACAATCCTTTCTGACAGAGTAGAAAAATGCGAGTTGTACATGCGCACACAATAGATGATTCTCAAAGGTTAGCTGAGTGGGAAGACGCCTGGTAGCATTTTCATCCCACGCGGGAAACCACAGTCCTAATGAATAGTAGGCCAATCTTACCCTGGATGCCCGGAAGTATCGCGGGGAAAAATCGCACTAGAAGCAAGTTGGTTGCATTTGATTAGCATCAACTTACAGCTCGGAAGGTCTGGAAGGCGGGAGAACATACCAAAGTAAGGGTAACACGCCGCCATCACAAATGTTAAGTGGTTTCTTGAGATCTGCTACTGTCTGAATCACGCCACTACATGCTGCACGTTTAAAATAGAAACTTGACTACAGTTCATCTCCTGGGCGGGGTAACAAAATCAATGACGTTTCTTATAAGGTGCATATTGGGTCATCCAACTTCCTGAAGTTCCGTTCATTTTTGCAGCAAATAAAAGGCACTCCCGAGCCATAACAGGGTATCAAACTGAGCATTCACATACATGGCTTCTTTGAGTAAAAATATATGCTGATATTTTTAAGGGAAAAAATTATAATGCATCCCTTTTATGTGTAGTTGGGATGTAATTCTTAATCCCAGTGCGATCTAGTTTGATTATCTTATTATTTATTTCCTCTTAATATAAAATTGAACGTTGCTTTTTTTCGAATTTGAAGCGCATTCGTATAGCTGAAACCTCAGGCGAATGTTTTTTACGTTTTATGTCTAGTTGGATCGTTGCGCCACGTGATGAAATATTCGAAGACTAGTGCTGCCTCTCCCCTTTATTTGTTTTATGGCTTTAAACGCCTGGTGGGAGGGAAATTAGTCATTTCTACCCACTTGTTTTCCAAGGCCGGGCCTAGTAATATTCATACTAACCACCCGACGCAAAACCTCGTCTAGGGTTTTAGTACGTACACGCACAGTTGATAATAACAAGCGAGCTGGTCCATATCTGTCGGACCTTGCTAATGTCGTCGCTTTTGATAGGGCCTTATGCTAAATTAAATATTGAAATGAAAACAACAAGCCCACTCCTTCATCTGTCTAGTACGGTGTTATATGTTACACTACGCATGGAAAGATGACGCCAATGACCCATTTCGCTTTTGGCCCGCCTAAAGCGCCTACCAATTACTGTGTCGGCGCAATTAACGACTTCGCCTTGCAGATATCCTGACGCCTTTTAACTTTGTCGGACGAAAATCAGGCACATCGACTACGGTTGACGAGTACGCTGGCTGCAACTGAGCTGCGTGTAAGGTGTCTCGCCTTAGTAAAGCTTGTTCATTAAGTCATTTTTTCCTGTCTTCTAATTTAGGAAATTTTACTTTTAACAAGGCGAAGA